ATACTTATTAACCATAATAAGATTTATAGAATCTAAGTATAAAATCACTTATTTAATAATTTTTGACACGAAACGTTTGTACAATTAAAAAAATGCATTCCTAAAACTGAGATCACATTAAGAGATCCATTTCTTCTTGACGAAGTATGAAATGTAAAACAATCACAGTAGAGACGATCATCGTAATATTATCCACTGTGGTTCTCTGATATTATTGCACCATTGTGTTTGCTAATAAAGTTCAGTATGTGAAACTGGTTTACGACACCAATAAACGTGTCGTCACGTTTATTATCTAGAACTATTGCATACGTTTCTTTTTCAAGAATACGCGATAGGCGACCAAGTGACGTCGAAGGATGAACTTTAACATACTGTTTGATAATAGTTTTTTCCATAAAATCTGTGGATTGCACTGCGCCCGATATTATGCTCGACATAAGTTTATTCGAAGTAACGATTCCTTTCACGTGCGTGCCATCACCGGTTACGAGCAGCGGTTGAGTATTTTCGTTTTTTAACAGATGAACTGCTTCCTGGCAGGTCACAGTATTTTCCCTGAACATGGAAGGCTTGTCGAAAATTAAATTCGAGATCTCTTTAATCCACCACCATTCATTCTTTGCATTCTCACACTTGGATTCCTATGATACATTGAATTAGTAAGATTTAATGTAATGATTAATCGTTTAAATGGAATTTGTGTATTTACCATAAATCCTCGAGCCTCCATCCAGTGATCCGACACGAATTTAGTTAAGTAATTGCGAATACCATCCGGTAGAATCATGACTACACGTTTCCCTTCGGGAAGGTCTTTGGCTATTTTAAGGGCAGCTACGAGAGCAGCACCACTGCTACCCCCGCATAGTAAACCTTCTTGACGTATAAGCATTCTAGCAGCATTTAACGATTCGCAATCTTCAGTCTTGATCCATTGGTCGATCACCGTACGATCTAGGACCGTGGGTATAAAGTCATACCTGAAAGCAATTTTTATCAGTTGTTTCAAACGGAACGTGGAACGATGTATATTAGATATAAGGTGTTTTACCCGATTCCTTCTACTTCATAGAAGCCAATTTCCTCCGGCGATTTACTGCTGGGATCTAGAATACTCCCTTTAGGGTCCACAGCTACAATTTTTACCTCTGGCGCCAATTCTTTAAATTTTCTCCCGATACCAGCAACAGTGCCGCCTGTCCCCGCTCCTACTATCACGTAATCTACCTTCCCCTCGCACTGTTCCCAGATTTCAGTCGCTGTTCCGTCATAATGAGCCAGCGGATTTCCAGAGTTAGTGTACTGAACACGTAATAGAAATGAATAACAGAGCTGTTATTATATTTAATTGATACGTTATGCATTTACCTGATCGAGAATAACACTGTTTGGTATTTCCTGCTGCAGCTTCTGGGCGACGTTGATGTGAGCCTCAGGGCTGTCCCAGCTCGCCTCCGTCGGTGTCCTAACAATTTCAGCACCAAGGGCTCGAAGAGTCGACACTTTCTCATCAGACATTTTTTCTGGTAGGACGATGATGCATCTGTAGCCTCTGACCGCAGCAGCCATCGCCAAACCAATTCCTGTATTCCCACTCGTGGGTTCGATGATGGTATACCCTGGTTTCAATGTACCCTTTTCCTCCGCGTCCAGAATCATTCTATAGCCGATTCTGTCTTTCACAGAGCCACCAGGATTGAGGAATTCGCATTTTGCATCTGAAGTTCATATTACGTTCATTATATCCGGTTTACAAGTAGAATGTATATCGATTTGATGAAATACGAACACAGTTCACATTTGATTCCGTACGATTTTCGAATATTGTTTAGTTTTACGATTGGAGTCCGGCCAATATTAGTTAGAATGTGGGGCATGATCCTATCGCGATCAGCATTTCTGAAATCAAATTAAACTCGAGTACATTAGATAATTAAACGGCTGTGTAATGCTCAGCTTTCTAAATGTATGTAATCAAAGTTGCCGGGAAAAGGCCCAATCCATCCCATACATAATAATAATTAATGGTTTTTAACTTACTGTACTCTGTATGTATGCGGTGAATTCGTGGCATTTAATTCCCACGTGCAGCAGCTGGTTCGGTTCGGCGGTTTAAAATCCATATTGAATATTTTTTATACACTTACAAATGTTTAATTAGATAAAATTCGACGATGAGATTGACGTGAGTATTTCATAAGATTGTGATATATCGGATCGCTCTCAAGATACGTCCTTACTCGGTGAATTTTGTGACGCGAACCATGTGAATTCTTGCTGCCTTATCTTCTCGAGGCATTGTTTGAGGCAGTGTTGGACATATCGTGGTAGTATGTGTAACTAGGCGTCTAAAAGGCATGTGCGCGTGACGTCACTCATACTAGTAACTTGTACGCACGCCCCAAGAGTTCCACGATGTGCCCGGAGAATTATCGTAATCGGTAAATGCAATAATTTTTAATATTCTTCTCGAGATATTAATTCATCATCGTTAATCGTTATCGTAACGAAGAGATCATTTTATACACAATAGTGTATTTCGCGCATAAATGAATATTTGTTGGTTAATTTGTAAAAGAATATTCGACAATTTTATTGTCATACAATTGTTTAACCTTAACTACGCAATTTAGGAGAAAAATAATAATGTAAACTGTAAGAGTTTGCATATTATAGTATATTATAGTTTGTATGTTATATTTAAACTAAACGGGTCAAAACGGGCCGAAATATTGGTAGTCCGAACCGGGCCCGCTTTGGCCGGTTTGGCCCAGTTTCGGTCCTATTGACCCGATTTGGCCTGTTTGGCAATTTTTCGATCCGTTTGGCCCGCGCAACGGTCCGAAGTAGTAGGGACCGGAATAGTATCAAACGGGTCGACGTTATTTTCAAACGATAAATTACCATTCGAAGATCAGGAGGGATTTTGCTGATCTTGAGCGGTAGTACAGGTACCTCCAATGTTTAAATATAATTTAGTTAATTAATTTCATATTTGATATTTTTTGAAATTCAGTTGTGTGATGAAATTAAATATTTGTCATTATGTGTTTAGATTAAGTTAGGTTAGTTTAAGTCCAGATATTATCAGATCCGAAATGATTGTGTAACTTATGTGATAAATGGGGTCGGAATAGGTGGTGATTTGAGGAAATCGAATGATCTGATAAAACTTGTACGTGGAACAGAAAGAAGGAACTCCTTTTATTTCGTTGTGGGCTCAGAAGCGAATTCACCGTTCGGAGTATTGCGTTCTCGATGGGAACGGTGATTTTCAAAGGGAACAGAGATTACTTCTCCCCGGCGTATCCGACGTTTACGAGGGCCAGAGAATTTTTCCAGACCGAAACTATCGTCACCTCCGCGACGAGACACCGTATTACGCTCTTAGAATTTTATGGCGGTTATCTCATCCCCGCGTACTTTCGTTTCTATCCAACCGTGAAACGAATGGTACTCTTTCTTCGACGTTCCAACTCTAAGCATTTCATCCCCGTTCCCGCTCCTTACGCGAGCGTGATATACGCGTCGATAGAGCAATTTTGCTGTCAGAGAAAACAGAAACGGTCGCGCGGAAAAGCCAGCTGAAGAGGCCACTGCTATTTCTATTTCTTCGTTTGCTCCGAGCTAACACGCTCTCAACGTGAAACGGAATTTCTCATCTCTAGTCCACGTCGTTTCTTCATTAGCTCATTTTTATTACTAATTTATTTCTTCGGTATTTCTTCATTTTCAATATTAATCTTCAAGTTAGTATCACGTCTCCGTTATATTGCATTTTGGAAGCCTCTGTTTAATCGCATTGGGCTGAGATACTAAGAACTGAATTTTACTGTTAATTATAATCTGCGGAGTAATTGTATTTAATTTTGTGTGCCTCGTGGCATTGATTAGACAAATCGATTCGCTTCTACTTGTTTGGACGTCTCCGGTAATCCCTTCCTATTCTGGGCCTCTCGGCCTGATATCATTCAATGAACATCATTCTACAGCGGCGCATCACGCAAACATCAACAGCGTTATTGGACATCGGATGTCCAATCAAACCTGTATTCATGAACACTGCTCCCAGCTTCCTCTTCTCTATTCCCTTTTTCCCCAAATCCTCTACGTTCTTAATTACCTCGCCGGACTGTGTCAGAAATACATTTCTAGTGTCAATCTACAAAATGTGATTTAAATATAAATTCTCATTACGGTATGTATATAGCTTTTCATATTTTCTTCTACATTCATTCTTTATATAAATGCGTTAAATCCACAGTGTATTCATCAATGCTCGTCGGGAAAGCGTGACAATATTGGAGACAAACCGTTCCACTATGAGAGTCAGATTTTCTTTCCTCTACGGTTTGAATTGTTAATACAAAGAGAGAAAGTGTTTAACATTCTTATCCTGCTGTTTATCAATATTCTTTCCTGCTTGTTTCAGGTGCCTGGCAAAAAGGTGTACAAAAATTTGGGGCAAAGTTTCTGACATAAAATAAGTGAAGAGACTTCCTTTATTTTTTAGTTATTCTTGCCGTTACGAAGAGAGTTCGCTCGGTTGAATGGTAGCGTCGTAATCCCGAGAATATGAGTCAGATTACGCTCTCTGGATAATCCGCGGAGCTGTGTCTCTTTACGATTCCGGATCGTAACTCGATTTTCCACGAGCCCGGCTCAAAGGGTTAGATATTGTCGACGGAGTTGTCGCAACTCGTGCCCGGGGTTCAGACTCCTCGAAGGTGTACATCGGGCGCAGAATTATTAATGGGTAGCGCGTCGACGGGCTATGCACCGGGATGTCCCGGTTGAGTTATTGTCGGGTGAATCCTTAGGCGCGGAGTTGTAGCCCCAGATGAGAGAGAGAAATAGAGAGAGGGAGAGAGCGACCTGACGAGTATCCTGACAAGCAGCCTGTTGCGTGACCTGCCCGATCAATATCTGTACAGGCGCAACACCCGCAAAACCACTCTCTTCCTATCCTCTCGACCGAACGCGTCCCGTTTCGTCTCTCCTGTTTTCTACTCTCTAACCCCTTTCTCTTTTTCTTCCGCTCTCTTTTTCACTTCGCGTGCAAAACCGGCACGCGTTAATCTCCCGCTCTAAGTTTGTACTCACCCGTATCATACTCACATTGTATCATCGTTACGTACCGTTGCATGAGTCTTGTCAATTTAAAATCTTTCCATTACAAAATCTTATACTCTGTATTTTATTATGTAATGGATTGCGAATTCTCATGCAGTTATAGATTGCATAAGAGAATGCACTTATTGCATGTAGTTTGCAAAAGTGAGATCAATATAAATCTTACATTCCATTAAAATGTATCAACAAATCTGCAGTGTAAAGTATGTCGGAACGGAGGAGAGGCTTGAAACTCGTGAATACATCTTGACTGTTTCAGGTGTCTAGGAATTTTGTTTATCTTTGGAAATTGACGGTCCTCGTATTAATCTTGGTAGCAACTAATTACGGCTGTCCTGAAATTAATCCAGTGAGGTCTTGGTAACGGCTCTTCAATTATCGTCTAGTGATCTTAATTGCATTATTCCCATCCCGTGGTCGGATGCAACTCTTGTGACAAGCAATTTACCGTAATTATCGGTAGGCCGTTCAATTACCACTTGCGCCGGTTACGAATTATTATTATTATTATTATTACTCGGTTTTCTTTAAGAGAATATACTTCTTACGAGTGGGAATCGTTTCGGGTGGGACATAATTATGTAGCTAAAGAGCTTGACCCGGTTTTCTCGCGTTGACGTCAAAACTTCGTACGGGTTCAGATCTTCCGGGAATTTCCGCTCGTTCCTATTAAAAATTACAATTCCATCTTCTCGTCCAGCTATGACTGCAGTATCTTACGAATTATTTTGCGGCTACCTGCACGGCTGCAAGTAGTAGTGCTAAATTTGGAAAAACTATCAACTATTCTCTGTGTAAATCGTCGTCCCAGAATTATTTTTTAAAACCTCGGAACTTAGCCGAGAATCTGGGGTAATTGAACAGGAAAGATAAACTAAGCAGTCTATTCAGATTTCTAGAGGCCACTTCATTTACATATTATTATCTATCCATCATGGGAATTTTTCTAAACCACCGAAGCGAGGAACCATAGAATTAGTTTGATTATGTGAGAGCATTGTTATCGTGCTACATAATATAGAGCAGAGTTCTCTGAGATGGAAAATGGATCTAAGATGGAGAGGAGACGCCGTTGGCGTCAGGAAGGCCTCGTTTACCAAGAACAAGCAAGTCCGCAACCCGAGCCACCAAAATTCCACGAATTTAAACGCCACCCTTAAGATCTCACCCCTGATTCTCTCGCTAAGAGGAAAAGCAGCAGCGAGCAGCTTAATCCAGATATAAAATCTGTTTTCTTAACGAAATAAATATAACGTGCAAAAATATGCATAAAGCCGAACTATTATTATTATTAAATAAATAAATGGATGTCATGAAAGTTTTATTTTACGTTCAAAGTCTGCAGTGACGAAGTTCGAGACAATTGAAATACTTCGGATGTAAGAACGTGAGTAAAGCAGTGGAGTATTTGCGGGCCGAGGGTGAGTTCCTCCAGGATACGGGTTCACACGTTTCCCCTGAATCGATTGGACGCGCGCCGCTCCCTGAGCTTCCATTTTTGCACGACTTCGCCATCGCGTGTGCCTTCGTATCGGCTTGCAACAAGCGTTAACGACGTCGACCCGCTTTGCGATTCCTTTGAATTTTAGCGAACAGGCTTCTTTGAACCATTTTACGATCAGAGGTCTATCGCACACCCCCGTGGTTGGGGGTGCCGAGAATACACCCCACAGTGTCCCCTGCTAAGAGCTGACTAAAAGGGGTAGTAATTGTATTTGCTGCTGAAAATTTATATTTAATATCACGTGGGGGTGTAATCTTTGTTACATCGTTTATGAATAGAGAAGATATAAGGATGAGGAGATGAAAGGCAGAATGTACTCTTAGTAGTTCTATTATTTAACACAGTTTCGTTTGCAGGAGGAATTTTTTATTACATGTGAAGAGGATAAAGAAACAAGATTAGGAAGGAAGATGAAAAGAGAATACGAAAAAAGAACATGTACAAGAGGAAGCTGCAGTAATCTAAGGAAAAGAATTATCAGGACGTTAATAAGAAACGAAGGATTAAATACAGAATGTTAAATGACGATATGTATTATCGTTGCACGTTTCTGGATTTCTTGAAGAATAATTAATCGATCCAGGTTCGCCACGTAGTAGGATCCTCCGCGGAGGATTCTTTCGATTTATTTCCGTAGGAACATTCTCCCTCTAATCTGCAGA